CAAAACAAGAGAAGGTGTCCTGGCTGTCAATCCTCATTCTCATTCATGACTGATTGTGGGACATTGCTGTGTGCAAATTGGCTGCCACGTTTGCCTATAAAATACAGTCAATGAATAAATCCTGTGAAGCACTTTAAGATTTCCTCCCCCTGTGAAAAGCGCTAGATTAAATGCAAGGATTATTATTTTTTGTTATTAGTTGCTAACTGGGTAGATGAGACACTTGGCATCTCCTCAGCTGATCAGCAGGGTAGGAGTTGTTTGATCATCTCATTGGGAGCTATGGGAGGGATATTGTGCTAACCCTTTCATTGCTCCAATCATTTTCCTGCACTAGCTGCAGCAGGAGAGGTGCCAGCAACTCCAGAGGGGGAACTTCAACAGTGAAAAACTGTTTCAAGTGGCCTCTAGTCCCATGATATATATAGATCTCCAGCAAGGTTTGGGAACCCAAGCCGGCAGCCAGCCACAAAGCAATCCACTCATGATTATTGTCCTTGAGAGGGAGGTAAGTGGGATCTTCTTGGAGCTGAAATGGCTGTAAGGTGAGGTGTTTGGCAATGGAACGGTGAAATTGAGTCCAATCCCTCTGCGTTGATCTTGCTAGTCTGGTTCCTGAGCCAGGCAGTCTGCACTCCTCCAGGGCACTGCTGGTGATAGACCAGCCAGCCTGGCTCATCAGCAGGACTTGGAGGAGCAAACTGGGAGCATTTTACTTTTCAAACTTGTATGATAATAATCCTTTCATTTGATATAGCGCCTTATCACGTCTTCAAGACATCTCAAAGCGCTTCACAGAATACACTGTAAAGTAAATTGACTGTATATTGTGTGGGTGAAAAATATAACCTAATCTTTTAACTCTTTCAGGTTACATCTTCTGGGACTTTGATTTTCTAGTTAGGTTTATCAGACGTGGACTAGCTGCCACAAACCGATGCAGACTCTCCCAAATCACTTCATGCATACCCAGTTTCTCTGTTCCTGATGACACATTCCAGTAATTTGCCCACAATTGATATTAAACTCACTGGACCACACAATTAGATCCCATTATATATAATGCGGCGGTTTGCTCCATAATATGATCCCTGCTCCCCATCCTGTGTTATAACGGATTGTGTGATGGTACCATGTTTGGTTGGCATTCCTGCATCATCAGGGACTGGTGATGTTGCCACTGACTTCACAGCATGCTCCAAGCCGAGCCAATCGGTGGTGACTGGTTTCACGAGCGTTTCCAGCAGTTGCAGGGATCCTGCTAAAGTCTGGAGGCTTTCTGCACCTGCACATCAAGTGCAGGAAACCAGACAGAATCTGGGCACACTACATGTCAGGTTTACTATGTAGGTCCATGATATGCCCGCATTGTATATGGACCAGCAGTATGGAGAACTGTGACTTTGGCTGCTTGATTTGTTCCTTCCCCCCTTGAATAATGGTGTCGCAACAACAACAACTTGCATTTACATAGCACCCTTCAGGCTATGTAGCATTCCAGAGCGCTTAATCTACATTTGGTGGTGGGGACAATGGTATCAAGATTTCCAAACCCAGAGAACTTCGGAAGGTTATAATAATGCTATAATAAAGGTTATTTTGCTTCACGTACTTCTGTTAATATCCTGTGGTGAAAATAATCCGGACCTGGAGATGTGTCTACCTTCATTGTCACTAGTTTATCTCACACAAACCACGGAGCATGTCAAGCTGCATTTGCACAAACCTGCTTACTTGGTTTGCAAAGGTAGACTCACAGCTTAGCAAAAACTACAACATTTTGCCAACTTCGTGAAATTTTGGCTGAAAACAAATGTTAAAACAGTTATACATTCAATTCTTTACATCATGTTTTTGCTGCTTTTTTAATACAAGCTCTTATTTGTTATGGAAATTTATTGAGATGAAATGTTTTGGTTCTGAAAAATACTTTATGTAAGCTTAGAATTTGTTTTGAAAGGAAAGGGCAAGAGAAGTTGAAATGTACCAAAAATGGCTGCCAGTGGATCAGGAAAAGTTGTGCTCCTCTGATTTGTTTAGATCAAAGTTTTAGATGTTGACAAATAAAGCAAACAACCCTGAAACTCTGGGATGTAGCTGTCAACTAGTCTTTGCTGAAGACTGGTTGCGTACAAGATATGACAACACTCACCGCAGACAAGCTAAGACTGTTCAGTTCTGAAAGGTAATGTCTCAGAGGGAAGATTATGTATGGGATTGGGAAAGTAAACTCAGACCAATGCTTTCAGGTGAACCACGACAGCAGAACAAGAGAACACAGGTTTAGGGTTCACTCCTGCAGATCTAAACTCCTCAACCTCCCTGGCTGTCCCTCAGACTTACCGAACCAGAGCGCAATCTAGGTGTCCGGATCGACCCCCAGCTGTCCGTCCTCCCCCACATCTGGTCCCTGATCAAGATCGCCTTCTTCTATCTCCACCACATTGCCCGCCTCCAACTGTACCTTCCCCAAATGCAGCCAAAACCATCGTGCATGTGGGGGACCTTCCTGTGAGTAAATTGACTGCCATGTTTGCTTACGAATACAAAACCACTGCACTTAATAGCAATTATTAAGCAAAGCACTTTGAGACATTTCAGAGTTTTAGATGCTGTATCAAATGCAGTGTCACTGTGAAAATTAAAAGGATGCAAAGTTATTAGAAAATGAGATAGCTGTGTCAAAGCAAAATGCCCATAGTTATGCAGCTGAGCTAAACTGCAACAACAACAACAAGATTCCATTTATAGAGCGCCTTTCACGTCAGGAGGACGTCCCAAGACGCTGTACAGTTGGGTAAGGACCCGAGCAGGGGGGAAATGGTCAGGGTGAGGGGAGGGAAGGGAGGGAGTGAGGAGGGGGTAGAGAGTCGTGAGGGGAGCTAAAGGCACGATCAAAGAGAAAGGTCTTGAGACCGGCCTTGAAGGAGGAAAGGGAGGAGGCGGCGAAGGCACTGGGGGATGGAGTTCCAGAGCCTCGGGGCTGAGAGGCTGAAGGCCCGGCCACCGATGGTAGGGCGGTTGGGGCGGGGGATGTGGAACAGACCGGAGCCAGAGGAACGGAGGGTACGGGCAGGTAGGTAGGGGGATAGTAGGTCAGAGAGTCAGGAGGGAGCAAGGCCGTGAATGGCCTTGTAGGTGAGGATGAGGATCTTGAAATCGATCCTCTGGGGGATGGGGAGCCAGTGGAGGCGAGCGAGGGTGGGAGTGATGCGGTCCCGAGGCAAACCTGGTATAGTAGAATCTGGGATCATGAAATGATCAGTGTTTCAATCAATCAGTTCAAGATCCTGGTCCTCACATACAAAGCCCTCCGTGGTCTCGCCCCACCCTACCTTTGTGACCTCCTAACCCCCTACCAATGCGCCCGTTCCCTCCGCTCAGCCGGCTCTGGCCTGCTCCACATCCCCCGACCCACCCGCCTCACCATTGGTGGGAGATCCTTCAGCCACTCTGCCCCCAACCTCTGGAATTCCATCCCCAGTCACTCCACCTCACCCCCTCCTTAGCCTCCTTCAAGTCCCGCCTCCTCTTCGACCATGCCATCGGCCACCCCCCTTCCCCTCCCCTCCCTTGCCCTCCTGACCCCAGCTCGGGTCTGAAATGCTATACTCTGTCCAGCGCCTTGGGACGTCCTCCCGATGTGAAAGCTGCTATACAAATATAATCTTGTTGTTGTTTCTAAGTGCCATTGATGTGGGTGGTTTATTCATAGAGGTATACCTGTGTGTGTGATTTCACCACATGATATATAATGTGATCGAGTCCTTTAACATTCTTAATGTCTCCTCATACTATAGTTTGTTCCAAGAATAAACAATCAAAATGTATGTTTCCAAATCTTTTAAATTATAATATGGTGTCAGTTTTGAAAGCTGCTAGGGAAATATTCAAACAATGATAGGCAGAAGGAAAATTCCATATCCTCAAAGCACACATCATTTCCAGGCTCCTGGCATGGCATGCACTGAGATACTTATACATTTTATGTGGGAGAGAAATTACATGGTGCATATTAATCTTTCACATATTTCGCATTCCTTTCATGAAATACAGCAACCACGAAGAACCCATAACCTAAAAGGTGTGTATGTGTTGAGTCAAATGGGGGTGGGAGGGGAGGGGAGAAGCGTCTTTGTCTAGACTTTTCTTTCCTCCCCTCGCACACGCCCTATTCTTTTACCTACCTTCTCTTCTGAGATTCACACACTATTATCTGATCGAGAAGATGGACAGCTTTAACCGGTCTTGACCTTTGTCATTCATTATTAACAGCTAGGACGTATAGAAGAGTGATTTCTTCTGACTTTTTTTGTGTTTTTTTTAAATTTACATTACTGCAGTGTAATTTCTTCATTAATGACTCGCAGCTTTCTTCGAATGTCACGGTTTTATCTCCTAGCTATTTTTTNAATGTTTTAAATCGAACATTTATTTTCTCCTGTTGAAGAAGCTTTTTGCTTCTCTTGGCTTTATCTTACCTCAGATGAACCAGTGTAATCAGCATGTGGTAAACCTAGCCACACTTTGCCACTTCAATCCCCTCTGCTGCCCCCCAACTTGTGCACAAGTCAGTGAGTCATGTGTGTTGCTGGGGGCAGGGATGGGAGCATGTGTGGATAGTTTCTGGAGGAGAAATGTACCGTTTTGTGGGATAGTTTAACATTTGAAATGGTATAGGGTGGATTTTGTGAAAGAAGTATTTGACGTAGTCTCAGGAATGTCACTCCAATGCCAACTATTTTCCTTGGGTTACCTTAAGTTGCCATGAAGTGTGTGATGTACTTCCAGTTACTGGAAGGATATTTCCTTTCAGATTAATTAAGAAATCAATTTTAGAAATACCACAAAATTGAACCTCATAATGTGTGCTGTGTTTCCCACTGTCGCAGTACAAGTGGGATGTAAAGGTTGTGACATAGCTGCATGATGTGCAGTAAATATGCGTTTGATGATATGATACAAGCCCATGACCATCTCTTCATTCCACTGTCCTGCAGAATGATTGAAGAACGTAGGAAAAGAGAAAACAGCATGGCAGAGAGAAGGCAGCTGTTTGCAGAAATGCGTAAGTATTTTGTATGAAGGCAGAGCTTCTGTTGCTGGAGGGTGGGTGGGGGGGAAAGAGGTAAAATAAAAAAAATGTAGGCTGGGTTCATTATTTCTGTTGAGTATTTTAAATGAGGAGGTAATGAATCTTTGACCACATTTACATTATTGCTGTGCAGTTTCTTGGTCCGTGACCCACAGGATTCCTTCAATGTCACAGTTTTATCTCCTGTCTTTTTATGTTTTCAATCAAACTCATTTAGTTTGCACTTTTTTTTCCAACTATTGCATTTTGTTGGTTATTGAAATATAGTGCATTATTAAAGCTGTGTGCATTTTGCCCTTCTCTGTATTATATTGCATGTACACCTCAGAATTTGTTTTCCTTCTCCAATTTTCCGCCTTTTGTTTTGAAGTTAGTAACTCCTTGCAGGTACAGTCCCAAGTGCAACTGTACCTCTCCTGTCTAGCCATTGTTTGTGAATCTAACTGGTCAGTGTCAGCCTGGCTCATCAGGTAGCACTCTCTCCTCTGATTAAGAAAAGTGATGATTCAGGCTCTTTGTTGGATCTTGACCTCATTGTCTAAGATGACACTTTAATGCAGTACCGGAAGAGCGCTGCAAGGTCAGAAGCTTTGTCTTTCAGTAGAAATGCTTAACTTAGGTCCTAAAGAAAAAGGATATTGTCCTGGCCAACAATCCCCAGATTAATATGTTATTCCCCTCATGACTATCTCTTCATTTCACTGTCTTGCAGAATGATTGAAGAACGTAGGAATGTGTAATTGCAATGTGCAAATGGCTGCTGCATTTTCCTACAAAAATGCCACTGTATTTCACAATATTTATCTATGAACACTTTTTAAAAATTTCACACGATGAAATACTGTAAAAGTAATCAGCATGTTTAAGAGTATGCAACTACACTAAGTTCTAGATATGTATGCCACCTGCACATAAAAATGTTCCTGTGTCTGGAGTGGGATGCACCCTGTCTCCCTGTACTGCAGGGAAAGTATCAAGCAAAGTTAGCGTGAGGAAAGGCTTGGGAGTTCTTGAGCATGTCTGGGTACTGCTAGAGTTAAACCAGCTAAAAGTGCATATCTTATCATTGAGAACATTATCTGACAGGCTTTACCGCTGCTTGCCCAGCTAGCACCAGCCTACGATTAGGGCTTTGGTTTGCAAGGTTAATAATAATAATCCTTGGATTTGAAATAGCACCTTATCACATCTTCAAGACGTCTCAAAGCGCTTCACAGAATATACTGTAAAGTGAATTGACTGTATATATTGTGGGCTAAACGCGACAGCCGATTGCACACAACAGTTTCCCAAAAACAGTTATGGATTGAATGACCAAATTATTATTATTTATTTATTTTGAAGGGATTATTACCCCTGGAACAGCAATCCACCAATCGACTAACAACCGGGTTCCTACTTACTGCTAGGTAAACAGAGGCGTGTGGAGAAGGAAATTAGCCCAACATTTTTCCCTACCAGGAAATCGAACCCAGGTCCTCTCACTTGCGAGGCAAATGCTCTAAGCCACTGATCTACAGGCAGAGGGCGAAACCTTGGGCAAGTTTCCTTACTCCACACGCCTAATAATAATCCCTCCAAAACCAAAAACAATAATAAAATTAGTCATTTTCAATCTATGACTGTTTGTGGGACATTGCTGTGCGCAATTGGCTGCCGCGTTCGCCCACAAATATACAGTCAATTCACTTTACAGTGTGTTCTGTGAAGCGCTTTGGGACGTCCTTCCGACGTGAAAAGCGCTATATCAAATGCAAGGATTATTATTATTATTATTATTACAGGAATCCTTAGGAGCCAAGTGGGAAGAATTCCTTCTCCCAGTAAGCAATCTGCCCTTCCAAGTCCTGCTGATGAGCCAAGCTGGATGGTCTGTCATCAGCAGTGCCCTGAAGTACTGCGAACCCGCCTGGTCAAGAACTGGACGACTGAGACTCCCACCGTGGAGTGTTGCTAAAGTCCAGCTGAACAGTCAGATGCAACTGTGATTTAACTCCTTTATCAGCATCTCTGATAATGATAATGCAGCACTATTGTTGGAATGCCTGCTGTGATTCAAAGTCTCAATATGCAACCTTCTGACTCAGAGGCACAAATGTTACCAACTGAGCCAGGCTGACACCTACTGGATAGTGCAATACTTTGTACAGCTCAAGTTTCTGTGACACAGCAGACTGATCAGATCCTGGATTCAGTGCAGAGGATAGCAAAGAAGCTGATGTCCAATGATATAGAGATAAGCTGTGCAGAAAGACTAGCTCTTCAAATTGATATGTGTCTATGAGGGAACCTTATAGAGCTATATAGGATGCTTAATGGGATATAGAAAATAAATCAAGATCAATACTTTCAGATACGGCAGGTTAAAAAGGCATCAGTTCAGTGTTGTGAAAGGCAATTTTGCTATTGACATCAGGGAGTATTTCTTTAAATAGAGGGTAATCAACTATTGAAATGGATTACTGGGGTGAGTGATAGAGGCCATTAAACTGGACTCATTAAAAAAAAAGGAGCTTGTTGCTGTAAATAGGAAAAAGTAGTGTTAGCATTCTGGAATGATGAAATCTAATGGGTCACAGGACCTTCTTCGTCTGATTCCCTCCTGTGAATTGTACAAGCCTTTTAGTCAGATCCCAGACTTTTGCATCAGATTTTTAAAAGCAAAATGATTCAGCTCTATAAAAATATCCTTTAAAGAGACCGGCCAGCTGCTTTGTCCTGGAGCATGCAGGCACAGCACATGCACTTCCTTCAAATAACTGTCTATGATCATCAATAAATCACAATAAATAAATCATTAATCACTCCAGTCACAGCAGAAGCTGTTTTTGGGTAATTAAACTCAAACAGGTAATTACTACTCTGAAGATTCGCGTCTGACATTGGTGACCCCATTCACACGCTGGACACTAGCAGCTCGCAGGCAGCTGTCTGGCTGTGGGTTAATATTTTCCCGCAAGGACGTTCATATCCCGAACACAGAATGCCTCCCAATTAAAAACAGGAAAACATTAGAAATGCACAGCAGGGCTATCAGCTTCTGAAAGAGAAGCTGACAGAAAATAAACTAAGAACAATACTGTCAGATTTGGCATGTCAAAAGGGCACTAGTTCAGTGTTGTGAAGGGCAATTTTGCTTCTGACATCAGGGAGTAATAATAATAATAACAATAATCCTTGTATTTGATATAGTGCTTTATCATGTTTTCGAGACGTCTCAAAGCACTTCACAGAATACACTGTAGAGTAAATTGATTGTATATTTTGTGGGCGAAACACAACAGCCAATTGCACACAGCAGTATCCCACAAACAGTTGTAGATTGAAGTGACCAATTTATTATTATTTATAAGTATTTCTTTAAATCGAGAGTAATCAGACTGACACAGTGGTATCACTCTCGCTTCTGAGTCAGAACATTGTGGGTTCAAGCCCCACATCAGGACATGGAAACACAAAGTCTAAGATGCCATTCCAATGCAGGGCTGGGAGTTTGTAGCATTGTTGAGGTGCCACCCTTCAGATGAGGCTTTAAACCTAGGTCCCAACTGGTCACGTGGCCAAATGTCTCCCAAAATAAAATTGTTTACTCACTCTATGGCTGTTTGTGGGACATTGCTCTGCACAACTGGCTGGCGCAGTTTGGCTGTGATTCCCGAGACGGAAATCGAAAGTGTGGCATGGCTTCACAGACATCAACATTGAAATGGTGTTGAGGGGGAGGGAGAGGGAAAGCAGAAGGTTGGGGGGTGGGGGTGGGAGGACAACATCTGTGACACTTATGGGTACATTCTGAAATGATGCATAACGAACTACGCATGGCGGACCCCGAAGTCTTTGTTCTCTTGATCTGGTTCAGCACGTCTCAATCCGATAAAACTTGCATCTCCAGCCCAACCCGTTTCTGTTCTGCTGAAGACTTTTCAACAAAAGCATTAACTTCTTTCAGATGCCAATTGATATGCTGTGCAGATCCAGCTTTTTCTCTGTGTTGTTTTAACTTTATATTTTGGCAGTCACGGTTCTTCCTTCATGTATATACCCAGCTCCTGTGCTCTTGGTCGTATCTGTCAGGGAATGGTAATTTACTATACTTTTCCTTGGAACCAACTGGCAGTAAATAAAACAAGCCTTTGGAGCCTGAGCCTAGAAACAATTTTAAGTGAGTGAGTGTCAATGCTCTCTCTGTGAAGCTGTTGCATGGATCACTGCAAACAGATGGAGTGTGTACAGCACAAACATGTGCAAATCTCAGATTTCAAGCACCTGCAATATCAGTCCCATGATCTGTAATGATCCCGTGAAACATTACCAACAAGGAACAGGGTCCGGGGTGGGGGAGGAGGATGCTGATCACTGAGCAAGTTGTGTGTAGGGGGGAGGGGTTTGCGGAGTGTGGCGGAGAGGAGATAACAACAATCACTGGGAGAATGATGGAAAGGATACAGATAGCTGGCTAAATGAATAGCAAGTGGCTGGAAAAATGATCTTTCAATACACTGCCCGAGTGGGTCGTTTGTTGGTAAGAGCCCTCCTTGCTCTATCAGGTTTTATGTGGAGTTCCTTTTATACTCTATACATCACATGCAGGCTAGGTTACACCAAGGCTCTGCTCCCCTGACTACCCGCCTCTTCCCTTCACAAGCTGGAGATGCAGACCATCCAGAATGATCATGTCCTTTCCCGCATTACCCTATCAGCCTCATCCTCACCTGACTCCACTGACACCCCATCCCAGCAGAAGGTTGAGTTCATGATCCTTATCTTAATTTTAATTGCCTCCATGGTCTTGTCCCAACACTCCTTCTACCTACTCAACCTTAAAACCCCAGCTGCACTTCGCTTAGCAGGCACTGGCCTGCTCCATTTTGCCCAGCCCCTTCATCCGGGCTTTCAGAGTATCTGTCCCTATTTCCTGGAAATCCATCCGAGAGTCCTTTAAGTTGCCACTTCCCTCATGTTTTAGGAGTCCTGTAGCTCAGTGGTTAGAGCACTCGCTTTGCAAGTGAGAGACCTGGGTTTGATTCCCGGCAGGGCAAAACCTTGGGCAACTTTCCTCACTCCACAAGCCTGATAATAAGTCCTCAAGAAAAAATAATAATAATTTGGTCACTTAATCCACGACTGTTTGGAGGACACTGCTGTGTGCAATTGGCTGTTGCGTTTCGCCCACAAATATACAGTCAATTCATTTTACAGTATATTCTGTGAAGAGCTTTGAGACGTCTAGAAGACGTGAAAAACACTATATCAAGTGCAAGGATTATTTATGTACTTTAAGTTCCACCTTAAGATCTTCCTCTTTGATCGTGCTTTTGGCCATCCCCCATCCGCTTGGCCTCTATCCCTAGCTCGAGTGCAAACTTTAAACCGTCCAGCACCTTCAGATATCCTCCTGTGTGAAAGGAACTATATAAATGTAAGTTTGTACCTCACAAAATAGGAATAATTTCTCACAGTGTTAGCCTTTTAAGAGCAATGTCTTAAATGCAATATCATGCAGAGTTGATGGAAAATGGAAATTTAGTCTTAAATTTCTTCTAGTACGTTTTACAAATGTTTGCAATTTTGTTGTTCACTTTACGAGTTCAGGAAGTTTGTTTTGTTAAATCAGCTTCTGGTCTGACACTCGAATACCTAGCTCGGTGCTCAGAAGTCTCCCAACCCAAACTTCTGAGTGTTCCACACGTATCTACGCAAATGGCCCCAGAAGATCGAGAGGATGGGGTGAATTCTATCATAGGCTCAGTCCTGGGAATAAACAGGGAGGCATTTTCTCATTCCTTGCTTTCTTATGATTTAAATGGCACTTTGGTAAATGTCAGCTATTTGGTTTTTAAAAGTTGTGGCTTTTTTTTNCAGAATTCAATAACTTTATATTTTGCTCAAATCAGGTGCTCAAGACTTAGATCGCATTCGTTTATCCACCTATAGGACAGCATGCAAGCTCCGATTCGTACAAAAGAAGTGCAACTGTAAGTACATACATAGATATATATATCATTCCATATTGTACTAATGTGTCATAACATATCAATTGGCTTTCCTCCACTCAAGCACACTCCCACTCTCAATCTGATAACTAGGCCCCAACCTATCTATGCAATCTCCTCTAATTTTCATTATTCTAGCCTACTGCTCGATCCTCACTCTCTCTATCCAACCATCATTCCGAATCACACAACTAGGCAATTCGCAGCTAGAATAGCACGAGGTGTACTACAGTTGGCCTTCGTGCTCCCTGAGTTAGGAAAGTGAGAAAACAGCTGGTTTCGAGACTCTGTTTGTTTATCTAACAAAAGTAAAAAAAACATGGATATGTGAGTGTGGGTGAAGATGGGATCAGGCTTGGCTGTGATGTTCCCCACCATCCATGTTCACACATGAAAATCGGATAGTGGTCCAACGTACTCAAAGCCTGTTGGCAACTACTACTGTTGTGTGAGAGGAGGGGAGAACATTGGTGGGTGGTTTGGAAGGGGGTGATAGCAATTCTTCTCTGATGGGCAAGAAAAGATCTCCCCCTCTGTATTTGGGGAGAGAAAGGGAGGTCATGAGCACCAACTCATATACACTGCTTTTTGATATGATATTTTGCCATATCAAAGCCACAACACTGAACTATCTACTTTATGTTTTATGAAACCATGACTTTTCTCTCTCTCTCTTCTGGTCTAGTGCACTTGGTAGACGTTTGGAATATTATAGAAGCATTCAGAGAAAATGGACTGAACACAATGGATCCAAACACTGAACTCAGTGTGGCTCGTTTGGAGGCAATCATTTCCACTGTGCTTTATCAACTCAATAAGCGAATGCCAACCACCCATCAGATCAATGTAGAGCAGTCCATCAGCTTACTGTTGAACTTTCTACTTGCTGTCTTTGATGGGTAAGTTTTAAGGTAGTTTGTTCCTCGGCATCCTGCAGATTATGGCCTGATCCAATGGGCCTTTTTCTTTTACAATTACATGACAGCAAGGAATACAAAGGAAAAGTTTTGTTCCGAAATCTTCCTTTTACTTACTTGCTTGGTCCAAGGAGGAGTGGTGATGGCTCAACAGTCAATCCAGTGAATGTCTGAGCCACTCAGGGTAAGAAGGTAGCACGGTCGATCCAAGGTGAGCAAGCTGATCTCACCAGGAAGAGTATGCACAATCCCTCAATTGATCTGAGTGCCTCTTTATTGTGGAGAGGAGAAATTGCCAAGATTGGCCACTCATTATACAGCAACTTCCACTGGAACGGAGGAGACTGGGTGTCCGCTCTCATTGTTTTCTCTCCCCTGGGAATGCAATAACATGCTGACACTCCTTGAAGTTCTCACATGAATAATGATCGCTTGGCACAAGATGGTGACTGGCACCATCTGGTGAGCAACCTAGGCGTCAAGTTCGACCCACAGCTGTCCTTCCTTCGCCACATCTGGATCCTGACCTGGACCGCTTTCCTCCACCTCCGCCACATTGCGCCTCCAACCGTACCTTACCCCAGATGCAGCTGAAACATTTGTCCATGCATTCGTCACGTCCCAACTCGACTTTTCAAACGCCCTTTTTGCCGATCTCCCCAGCTCTACCATACACAGGATCCAACTGATCCAAAACTCCACTGCCCTCATATTCACCCATACTAAACTCTGTACTCCCATCACACCAATTCTAGCCAGGCTCGACTGGCTCCCGATCGCCGAACTGATCAATTTCAAGATCCCCACAACTCATTTTCAACTCCCTTCATGCTCTGAGATCTCCCTACCTCTCCAACCTGCTTACCCCCCAACCCACAGCCTCCTCTCGACTAGCTCTGGCCTTCTGTATGTCCCTCATGCCCTCCATTCCACCATTGGTGGATAGGACATCAGCGACTTAAGTGAATTATCAAAGTGCCCTCAGTGTCTATGAGATTATGATCCCACCCAGGAGGGAGATAGCACCTGCAGGAGCTGGGTGGGAGCGACATAGAGAAAATTGAAGTGGCAGTCATGGGGTAAATGGTATTCTCTCGCACTTGTTTTATTTCCTCTCATCTGCACAATCCATGTACACTGCTGCTGTAACAATCCTAGAGAAACAAGAAGTGTTGGAAGTAAAATGACAATCTTGAGCAAAGAGTTAAAGAGGGTAGCATAGTGCATTTGTTTTACAGAACATTTTTAATCATTTATGTGAGTAGATAATGTTGTAAAGGGAAAGTATCTCACTTCAGTTCAGCTGTTGCTTGTGTACCAGTAAGAAAAAATGTGAATGAGAGTAATTTGTCGAGACTCCAATTGGAACAAAATTTTTCTCCCTTAGACGATAAATCTGCATTACGACTGACTGCATCTCTTGAAGTCAGCACATGGAAGGAAAGCTGAGCGTAAAGATTTTGTAGCTGTGAATATTTGATAACCATGGCATTGTGATTGACTGAATAGTAATCAGTTAGCATGAAAATCACATTTATTCCGAAACACTGCTCTGGGGAAACCAAAGGGAAAATGTGTTGATAAGGAAATGTTCATTTTTACAGTTTTTACAGTTATTTGGCTACCATCTCCTACAATGAAATTGTAAGAATTGGCCATTCTATTTTATATACAAACACAGGAACAGGAGTAGGCCATTCAGCTCCTTGAGCTTATTCCACTATTCTATTAGATCATGGCTGGCTAATTTGTACCTCAACTCCATTTACCTGCCTTTTCTCCATATCCCTTGATATCCTTACCTAACAAATATCTATCAAACCCAGTCTTAAAAATTTCAATTGATGCACCTTTTAGGGGAGAGAATACCAGAAATTTTGTGAAAAAATGGTTTCTGGTTTCATTCCTAACCGGCTTAGCTCTAATTATATTATTATACCTCCTCGTTCTGGATTGTCTCAATATCTACCCTAGCGAGCCACTTCATCTCCTGAAGTGCAGAGAATACAAACCAAGTTTATGTAACCTAGCCTCATTATTTACCCTTTTCAACCCTGGTATCATTCTGGTGAATCCCCAGGCTTCCTCCAACCAGCAGATCTCAAGTAGAAAGGAGAGTAGCAGGAAGTGACTAAGAGATATCAATATGTGTACAGGTATAAAAGGAATGGCCAGATACTAGCGATTACACAGCGAAGAACAACAAGACTGATATTGTTAGAAAATGAGCAGAGACAATAAATAGGGACACAGAGAAGTGAGTTTGTCCTGATGTAGATTCTCTCCTGTCATTTCATGAAGCTGCAATAACTGATGTCCCAAGTATCAACCTTCCTCATTCATAATGGTACTGGGTGAAACATCATATGTATGGGTGAAATGATTGTAAAGCATTCTTGTTCCTAAGGTAGACTTTACCTGCAATCCTGTGAAAGCTTTTGAGACATTTTGATGACGTGATGATATCAAATGCAAGAATTATTATCTTCTAGTACAAGATTTTTTAAAAAAAGTATGAAAACCTAGTTTTATAATGAAACTTTAAAACATTCCACAATCTTATTCCATTACTGAATTCAATGGGCCTTCTGTGTTGGGATATTACTACCTACTGTGGAGTCCTGTAACTCGTGGTTAGAGCGCTCGCCTTCTAAGTGAGAGGACATGGGTTCGATTCCCAGCAGGATGCAATGTTGGGCAAGTTTCCTTACTCCACATGCCTCTGCTTACCTAGCAGTAAGTAGAAATCCGGTTGTTAGTTGATTAGCGGATCGCTTTTCCGGGGTTAACAATTCCTTTTTTTAAAAAATAATTTGGTCACTCAACCCATGAATGTTTGTGAGACACTGTTGTGGGCAATTGGCTGCTGCACTTCGCCCACAAAATATAGAGTCAATTCATTTTACAGTATATTCCATGAGGTGCTTTGAGACGTCTTGAAGATGTGATCAGGCGCTATATCAAATGCAAGGATTATTACTTAATTCAAATCTGAGTCCTAATCTTCTGCAGTTTAGCAAATAAGAACCAGTCAAATGAATCCCTGGACCAAGTGGGATACTTAATGAGTTTACGCTTAAACGTGCTTAGTTTTAGTCTGTTCAACAGTAGAATGTTTTAATTGCTTTTTGTAAAGCATGCATTTCAGTTCATCTGCAGAGCAGCCGGACTCAGTCTCAAAATGTGTTTTGCAATGTCCGTCATGCATGACTCAACCGCAGCTCGCAACCGAAAGACGCAGAGTCTTGGAACACTGAATGCTGCAGTGAATAGTGTCTTATTTATTGTCTTAGTACGAAATGTGTCAATTTCGATTTTCTAAAACATGAAATGTGAAATTTCAGCAATTACCCTTTTTCTTATAAGGAAATCTGTTAAAAAAAAGACCACAAATAGACCCTCGTTTCCCAAATTATATTGAAATGTTTGGAGGGATGCGCTGCACGAGGATCAATTTCAGGATCATTGCATCTTTGACCGTGTCTTCGATCACCCTCCTTCCACCCCTGCCTTTCATGGCCTCGCCCCACCCTACCTCTGTGACATCCTAAACACCTACCAACCCGACCGCTCCCTCCGCCAGGCAGCAATGTTCAGTCACTTAACTGTCTATCAGTGAAACTTAGTCATAGAAAAAACAGATTCACAGGAAAATGTTTGAAATTCGCTGTGGACCATCAAGACCAGAAAGTCACCTGATTGAATCTGGGCTCAGTTAGCTGATCTCAGGCAGGGGCTGCGCTTTTGGCTTCAACACCCCCGGGTTAGGGAGTGAGAAAAGAGCCAGCACTCCTGATTGCTATGCAGAGACCCCAGCTGGAAAGTACATATGTGTAGTTGTCAGCTGAGCATCAACAACAACAAGATTACATTTGTATAGCGCCTTTCACGTCGGGAGGACGTCCCAAGGCGCTGGACAGAATACAGCATTTCAGACCCGAGCTGGGGTCAGTGGGGAGAAGGGAGGGGAAGGGAATGGGAGGTGACTGATGGCATGGTCGAAGAGGAGGGTCTTGAGGCAGGACTTGAAGGAGGCTAAGGAAGGGGGCGAGGCGGAGTGACTGGGGGATGGAATTCCAGAGGTTTGGGGCAGAATGGCTGAAGGCTCTCCCGCCAATGGTGGGGCGGGTGGGTCGGGGATGTGGAGCAAGCCAGAGCCAGCTGAGTGGAGGGTGCGGTCGGGTTGATAGGGGGTTAGGAGGTCACAGAGGTAGGGTGGGGGCGAGGTCATGAAGGGCAGGGATGGAAGGAGGGTGAGCGAAGACACGGGTCAAAGAGCAGGGTCTTGAGATGGGTCTTGAAAGAGGTAAGGGTGGGGGGAGGTGGAGGGACTGCAGGATGGCGTTCCAGAGACTGGGGCCAGAGTGGCTGAAGGCCCGCCCGCCAATTGGGGGGCAGGCGAGGTGGGGGACGTGAAGCCAGCCGGAGACCGCTGAGCAGCGGGCGCGGGCAGGTTTGTCAGGGGTTAGGAGGTCGCAGAGGTAGAAGGGACTGTGGGATGGAGTTCCAGAGGGTGGACGCTGAGGCCCCGTCCATCAATGTTGGGCAAGCAAGGCAGGGGACGTGAAGCAGGTCATAGTTTGCTGAGCGGAGGGAATGGACAGATTGGTAGGGGGTTAAGAGGTCACAGAAGTAGAGAGGAGCAAGGCCGTGGAGGGCTTTGAAGGTGAGGACCAGGACCTTGAACTCCTCTGTGTGATGCAAAGCCACTGGAGTCGGGCAAGGATGGTGGTGATAGGGTCATGGAACCTGGTGCGGGAGAGGACACGGCTTGATCTGAAGCCTATGGAGGGAGGAGTTGGGGAGGCCGACAAGCAGGGAGTTTTCGTCGTCAAGCCTGGATGTTATGAAAGCATGTACGAGGGTCTCGGCGGCCTGCGGTGTGAAACAGTGGTGGAGCCAGGTAATGTTGCGGAGGTGGATAAGGCAGAGCAAGTCATGGCACGGATGTGGGGTAGAAAGGATAGTTGAGGGTCAAACAAGATGCCAAGGTTCCAGACTTGCCATCATTGAATTTGGCTGTTATATGGCTGGTCCCAGTGGATGGGAAAACACGTTCAGGAGAGAAGACGGGTAGGTGAAATGTTGGAAGGGTCATTAATTGTGGAAGCGTCTTTCTCTTGTTTGTAACTGATGCTACCTTGTATTTCTGGGAAACAAATGTATTTTTGTTTATTTTATTTTTAATGCAAGGTCGTGACTGACACCTTGTCTAGCAACTAACTCTTTTGATTAATGTTTCAGAGAAGGCCACGCCAAAATATCAGTGTTCGCTGTGAAAGTGTCGTTAGCAACAATATGTGGTGGGAAGATCCTGGATAAGCTGAGGTGTAAGTATTTTGCCTACAGTCTTGTGATGTAATGCTCCAGTTATTTTAGTTCATTTTGAATCTTTTGCCCTTTCACAGCCGCTTGTCTCTGCTTTCAGACAAGTAGAACAGACAGTTTGCTTCCTCCCACAGCTTCAGGAGCCCTCAATGCTTTTATCTAGGTCATGCATTTCTGTGACCCTCTAAGCCTTTCAGAATGTAATCAGGATGTAAATTTGCATCAGTATTCCAGCCAGTGGCCGTGCAAAATCCCCAGTCTACTCTTTTACGTAAGCTGCATATTTCAGTGCAAGATTTGGAGACGAGGAATCTAGAGAACGCCTACAAATATGTAGTCTCGACACTTTACGTTAAACCCTGTGAGGCGTTTTCAGATGTTTCGACGGTGTGATAAAAGCCCTATACCAAATGCAAGGATTGTTATTATAATTTATGCTGTTGAATTTGAAATAACAGAACGGTAAGTGAGAGGTGCTCCATAAATTGGTCAGCACTGAGAAAAGGGGGTAAATATTCATGGTGTAACGTCTTTGAGACGTCTCAATGACGTGATCAGGCGCTATATCAAATGCAAATGATGTAGAAATGAAAAGGATTCAGATCGCCATTATTTCCCACTGACACGCTACCTGATGATGAAGATCTATTCTGACTAATGCCATGTTTATCTTACCTCACCACCTGTGGCAGTCCAACCTCTGAAAAGTGGACTGCCTCTTGTGGCACTGGTTTGTGGATGGCACTGTTTTGTGGCTGTGGGCAGCGTGAGCAGGTACACAATTTTTGCAAATTTTTGCCGACCCTCTCCAGTGGTCATGATGGGGGAGTGAAATTAATAACTTTGATTGTCATCGGGGACGTGGGATCTGTCCCATCACATAATGAAGGTCTTAGACAGCAGTAGACTATTGGTCCATCTAGTCTACTCACCAAACTCCCAAAAGAAACATCCACTTTTTGGAAACCCTTTACAGTTCCTTGTTCCACATGCTATGGTCATAGTTTGGTTTCCTATCACCAAAACTTCACAGTAGGCCAGATATAATCTTGCCAAGACCTTAGTGTAAACTTGAACTCTGCAGCACTGACAAACGTGGGGGGAGGGAGTACAGAGCTGCTTCTGTCTGAATGTTTAATGTGCCGTAGCTCTCCTGATAGCCATTTGGATAATGGCACTACCCAGTGTACAGTACCACTGAGCCTTAATGAACAGTAGATTCTAGTCTGAATTAGTTGATTTAGTTGAAGGGAATTGGTGCCTTAAACAAGGGGAACAATAGGCGTTCAATCACTATCCAATGCCCTCTGCTGACAAGTTAATGCTTGTGGATGTCAGGCTCAGTTGTGAAACTGTCCACGATGAAACAGCCTGTTGTCAATCGCTGCCTAGGATCACTGACTGAGGGATCAGAGGGCAACTAGAGAGTGTGGAACTAAACCCCAACAAGATTTAGTGTCCTCAAGGAGGGCGAAATGAAACCAATAAGGCAGCCAGAATACATTATTCATTGGAGATGTGCAAAGCACCACAAATACGATAGGGGAACCCTACTATAATGCCCTTCATTTTAGCACCACTTTGATTATGAGGTAGGCAATGGACCCTGGCATTTTGTGATGTCAAAACATTGGAGATGCTGATATTGCGAGAATAGCGTGAGGAGGTCAGGGATTTTGCCGACCTTGCAATGCACAACTCAGTTGACTTGTTTTTCTGCACACACACAGACACACACACACACAGCATGCCCTTGTAACATCGCTGGTAACGCTGCTTTGCACCTTCATTTATTACACAGGTATTGCATCGAAACTTTCTGGACCCAAACAAGTGCACTATTAGTGGGGCTCTCCTACACTTGCTAAAAAAAAATTCCCTTGTCAAAGATGAGACAGATATTTTAATGCTTCTTCATCTTGTTATAAGATCTGATTTTCTTTCGAATGTGAACATGCTTGAAACTGCTCAGCTGTCTTGTTCGCACATTTGTAGCATACCCTCAGTTAACTTAATTCGATCCGATTCTCTTTAGCTTTCAATCTACCTGCATTATGTGTTAAATCAGTGGTAAAAGAGTGACTTGTGATCATACTGTGATACAGAGTTATTAGGTTTAACCAGATTTGTTAGGTGGCTTTCTGCCATCAGCCATTGGATTAATATCTACAATGAACACTGTGGGAACATTCTGGTTTTGTTTGTGTGTGATTTCAGCCTTGGCTTGGGATGCACAGCGTGCCAGAGTAACCATACACTCGGTGCCAACACAAAATTGCACATTTAAAAATAACCTGTGGGTACTCAAAAGATAGATTTATTCTATCCTGGGACATGTTGGCAGTGCAGTAGTAGTGCAGAATGTTAAAAATGCAGTGCCCTTTTTTTCCCTTACAGTTGACAGTCTGAATTTTTCTTGTAAATTCTTGGCAGCTCTGTGAATATTTCCACCATCTCAGTGATCAACATTTCGGCTGACATTTCTGATCATTTGGCTCATATTTTTAGTTGAAATGTATTTTGGAAGCTTTATAGACATTAAACATTGTTCTTTTTGGTGGTTGTTTCAGCACTAAATTCCAGATTTTTACAATCATTAATGAAGAAGATTCTTAATATTGCAGATATCATATTTGTCCCAGTATGGAAGCATAGAGCTCATTAGAATGAATGTAGTCTGCTTTACATCCAGAGCAGAGCGATTTGCAGCAGTGTCATCCAAAAGTAATGGATGTTTAGGATTAAGGGAGTACTTTTCTACTAAATACATCTGTTAACAAAATGCATCTATCACTCAGCTCAGGATATAAATATATTCATTCAGTAATCTCACATTGCTATAAAAGCCTGGGATTAATATCATGCCCCTTTTAATCTGCAGAATGGGTTTGTCATGGATTAAATAATTTGTCTCTGTGCTAGCCTGAAATACTAGCTTTGTGCCTTTTAAATGCAATTACTGCTGTGGCTGAGATTACCTTACTCAGCATAGACTAGGAATAGAACATGCATTTCCTGCAATGCAAGACTGTGTGCTACATTGAGTACTGGGTTTGCCACTAACCATCAGGAGACCTCCATATTTATGATTTAAAATAGGTGGTTTGGAAGGAGTTTTAAGTGGTACAGGGGTCTTTGCTGGCATGTAGTTTGGTTCTGCTCATCCTACATTCAGTCTTTACACCATTGGACATCAAATGGAAATGCCCCTTTGCCATTAGTGTTTTGAAATTGACTGAAAACAAATAACAACGCCTCACAAAGTCCAAAAGTAAAAGAATAAAAGGAATAGAAAGTGCGGTCGGTCGCAAGGAAATAATCTAATCTAAAGGTTCAGATGGCAATAAAGCACTCAGACTTCACCCTTGAAGTTGATGATGTCATCCGAACTCCTTGATTAGATTATCTCCTTGAACTCATTCCCTAGTGTTCATTATTCTTTAATTTTGTCCCTGCAGGGTGCTCCTGTTGTCATGCAGCATCCTTCTTTGAAATGCGGTTCAATAGCTTGTCAAAAAAAATAGTATTCTTCAACTAAGAGAGAGAGGGGGGGAGGGAAACTTGAAATATAGCTGGCATAAAATATAATTGGAGATAAAGTATTTCTGTTTGTTCCTAAAATACAACTGTTGATAACTGTAGCAAGCGTACAGTTTGGGATCACAGCATGATGGTAACGTCATCTCTACAAGGACTGCAGAGGTCTGTAGAGAAGGTCCATCACCACTATCTTAGGGAAACTAAGGGTGGCCATTAAATGCTGGCAGAATTCCAGCAATGCCCACATCCCAAAAGGGGAGTAAAAAAAAATCTGAAGTGCATACCGAAGGGTAGAGAGCAACGTAACAGAATCAAACTTTCAATCCACGACTGTTTGTGGGACACTGCTGTGCACAATTGGCTGCCGCGTTTGGCCCACAAAACGATATATACAGTCAATTCACTTTACAGTATATTCTGTGAAGTGCTTTGAGACGTCTTGGCACTATATCAAATACAAGGATTATTGTAATTGTATTGTTTGGAAGAATAATGCTTTATATTTCTTCTCCCCTATTGTACTTCAGATATTTTCTCCCAAATCTCCGACTCCAATGGAATAATGATATTTGTGAAGTTCGACCAGTTTTTACGGGAGGTCTTAAAGTTACCGACTGCAGTGTTTGAAGGTCCTTCCTTTGGGTACACAGAACAAGCACCCAGGTCATGCTTTTCTCAACAGGTGAGCAACTATTCAAACCTTTTTGTTTACTAATAAGCAGGTAACCAGATAGTCGACATTGGTAGCTAAGCAGCGATCCACGACCAGATTAGATGCAACATCCCGGCTTCACAGACTTCGCCATTGAGAATGAGGGAAGGGAGGGAAAGCAAGGCAATCGCATACCCCATAAGAATACTAATAGACCTTCACAAGGGGATCAATAACCACTGTTCAACTGCCCAGTAGAAGCAATTGTAATCAGATCAACTCATAATTTCTGATGCTTTCTGTAACTTCTATATATCTGAATAAGGTTCTGCTGGCTATAGAGAAGGCACTTTGTGAGTTATTGAATACATTTGTTTCCTTTTTAAATGTTGTTTAAATTGTGAACATGTTTGCTCCCATTCCAGTACAGCAAATGAAATGGCAATTGGTTCTATGCATTCACAGAAATCACTTTGATCTAGCTACTCAGAAGCAATTTGTAAAAGACTGCGAAATGCCGCCTTTAATTCTCAGTCGGATAAAGGAAAAACAAATGCCATGTAGTGTGTGTTCAATTATTTTATACATCACAAGTGAGCCTGACAACAAAAATAACAAGGTTATGAATTGCTTATGCTCATCAGACAACTTTGCAATGGAATAAAATTCCTCACCAGAGGTTGTATCCAACTGTAAATTCATTTTTAAGCCTTGTTTTTGTAGGACATAAGATTCATTTGTAATAATTGATTGTTTTAAAGCTTTGTTCCTTAAAGTAGACCGGTATAAATAGACAAGTGCAATAGTGAATCATTAATGATGCTGGCTTGCTGTTGGTGCTGTGGGTCAGGAAGATTAATCTGGCAAGATAAACAAAGGTGTTGGAGTTTCTGGTATTTCGGTTGGGATGGAGGGAGGAGTGTTGAGATCCCCAAACAATAATGGATGGAGCATATTTTACAACTAACCAAAGAGCCGGTGATGCAGGAAACCTAGTCTTAGATCATTATTACTTTGACAATTTGTGGGATAATTTTAATAATAATCTTGCATTTGATAGTATCACTACCAATCATTGAGCACCCCAAAAAATAAATCCAGCTGCTTTGTAGCAAACGCATGAATCAGTTAAATGTCTGGGGATTTCAGCAAAGTGTGTGTGCTTGTTTATAGCAAGTACATTTAGCAGAACCAGTTGCTGTTTCTGTTACTATTGCAATACCACAAAAGGATGTCGTGCATGTCAGTTTCAATTGTGCCCTTCCTATCTTTGGGCTTCCAGTGGTGGAAGGAGGACATTTGAAGTTGGTACAGTATGATTGAAATTTGGCTCACTTGTCCCAGAGTATACAACCACTTAGTGCTCTTGTGTTCTGTGCAGGACAGGGCTCCTTAAATATAATGCATCTTTGCAAGGAGATGGATTCACTACTCCACACAAGTGGTTGGTGATGAATAGTTTGCTAAGTAATTTCAAATTTGCAGCAGGTAAAAAGGTCACCTTTGTCTGGGAGACCTGCTTCTTTCAGTAACAAACTGAATCTCTAACTGGGGAACAGAGTGCCCATTAAGTGTTTCTTTTAGAACACACAGCCCAAGGTCATAATGTTTTTTAAAAAATGATAATACAAGGTTCTGGCTGCCTGTTTAGATGTGGATGATAAAGATAAAGACACAGTCAAAAAGTTTTCAGACAATCCCAGATTGAGATCTAGAGTATGCTGAGTGACTTGATCTCAGCCAGAGCAGCAGTTGTGACAGTACAGTTCGCCTCAATATCCCTCAGATACGGAGAGGAAAACCAGCCAGGGTTCTTGCTCTTAGTATCTGTGTATGTGTGTAGGTATTAACTGAGAATAGGATTGAGCTTAATTGTAATGCTCATGAGGTTAAATAGCTTGCCAACAGTCAGTGCCAAAGCATGAATGTGAAAAATTGACACTTGGGCAAGGTCCCTGAATAAAGCGAAGGGGAAAAAACTACAGGAGAAAAATAAGCAGAAAAATTGAGAAGCAACATTAAAGTAGTGACCTCTGATTATATCAAATGGCCTTGTCTTAAAAATGTACTAAATGAACTTTCCCAGGGGAAAAGCTAAAAGAGACTTAGAGGTGTTAGTTCATTCATTGCTCACCACAGCTAGGCTGACACTCCAATACTGTGCTGGAGGAGCACTGCGATGTTGGAGATGCCATCCTTTGAAATGAATCGTGAAACCAAGCTGCCTGCTCAGGTGTACGTTTAAAGATAGCATGGTACTGTTCTAAAAGAGAAGACAGTTTCCCCTACTATCCTGGCCAAAAGACACAGTCCTTTTCCTGTTATGCCCAAAAAGCAGTCAGAAGGTCTTTAGACAATTCCAATTTTATTTGCAAAATGCAGCACCATGCAGGTCCTCTGTGGCTTCCCTTTTAGAGATATGGGTCCATTTGCGTGGGGAAGGAAGGACCCCTACTGTTGGCATACACCCCTTTGTCAAATGCCCAATCTCATTACATAAAATATATCATCTGCTTCCAAAAACATATTAATGATCCAATGTTTAGCTGTATCCCCTTTTCAAAAAAATATACAGTATTTACAGAATATTGAAAAGAATCCCGTTCATAGACTTGTAAAATCTCTTTTGATTATGGTAGATTTCCTGTATAAGGTAATTAAGCCAAATTTTCTCATCCAATGTCTTGCCGACACAAGAAAGCATGGAGAATAAACAAAAATCACTTTTAAGTGATCATCATTACAAATATTTACATATCCGAGACTTTACATTTTGCAGTTCCTCAATTGGTCTCGAGGGTTTTATGGTCTCTTCCTAGTGAGCTGCAATGTTGTGCTGACCTGCATACACATTCCCTTCCTCTTCCCTCTGTTGCTGTGCATGACAGCCCCCTTGGACTTTGCCTATTTTCTGTTTGTTTCTTTTAAGCTCCCTTCTGTTCCTCCTACACACATTGTTGAATCAGCTTTGATCCTTTAAGATCTCAGCTTTATTGATTTCTTGATTACTTTGTCTTTTCTCCGTGTCTTCTTGCTGCTGTCAGTTTACCAGAAACATATGCATTCTCTTACCTCTAACTTTTCCAGATCTTTTGCTGATTTGTTCTCTGTTTTTTCCCTGTTTCTTATATTCTGCTGGATTTAAAATCTTAGTAGATTGTCATCGGGAAATTGCTTCACATCTTTCATGACATTAATCATTCCCTCATCTATTGGGGGGGTTGGCCTCAAGCATCTTGGAGGTTTGTCTGGTTGTCTCTGGGACAACATGATTCTTTGTTGATATTGCCATCTTTTTTCTTTTAAATATCTGACACCGTCTTTTCACTCACAAAATACACAGTCAATCCACTTTACACTATATCCTGTCAACCGTTTTGAGACGTCTCAGCGATGTGATAAGGTACTACATTAAAAGAAGGATTATTTTTACCTTGAGTCCAAAAATCAGTCACTACACAGCAAAACTGTGTGAAGTGCTTTGAGAAGTTTCAATATTATGAGGTGCTATATCAAATGAAAGGGTTATTATTATTATCGTTGTCAAATCAATAAACAATGGTAAACAAAATACAAATGGAAATGTTGCTAAATCAATTGAGTTCACATCTCTATAAGTCCTGCTGAGACTGTACAGTGGTCAGGCTGGAATACTGTGTACAGTTCTGATCACTGCACATAAAGGGGCATTGACCAGACATTCGAGGCAGTGCGGAGGAGAGCAGTGAGGATGATTCCTAGTATTAGAGTGATAAACTATGAGGAGTAAATAGATAAGCTAAGGCTCTTCAGCTTTAAAAAGGAACACCTCAAAGTGAATATTATAGAGGACTGTAAGATTCTAAATAAGATTGAAAAAGGAAACTCAGAACAATACTTTCAGATATTTAAAGACAGCAGAATAAGAAGGAACAGATTCAGGACGTTGAAGTGCATTTTCAGGACAGACACCAGAAAATATTTCTTTACTCGGAGATATTAACGGCTGGATAGGGATACCAGGAAGGGTGATGGAACCTAGGACACTGGATTTGTTTAAGATACAGTTTGCTGCTGTGATGGGCGGAAGGTAAGATGGGTATTCTGGAAAGAGATCAACTGGGGCAAAAGGCCATCTTTGTCAAAACCTCTATCATAAACCTTTGAATAACTGGGTCTGCAGCTGAAATTATAAGGCATTTTCCATTTTATTTTACAAATTACAATTTAACTTTTACAAACTTTTAAAGCAATCTTAAAGAAATGAGTGGTAGTGGTTCTGCTGCTGTTTTCTCATCTTCGCTGGCAGTATGTCTGCGAGTCTGTAATGAATAATTCTGACATGTTTCCACTCAAATACCCTTTGGACACAATATTCCCTAGTCCAGAAGCTGCTACATATGCATAATCTGTGATTCTTCTTCCACCCCATTTAACAGTATAGTTTATTTTTAGTCATTTTTCTTCCTGCTGGTTTCATGAACTCTTGAGTACATGACAGAGAAGGGAATAGAGTTGCATGAGAGCGTGGATAAGGAGGGGTGGAGGCTCATAAGGGGTATTAAAAACACATGCACTAGTTTGGCTAAATAATAAAAATAATATTTAATTATTAATATAACAATTATTAATATAATAATTATTATTATGTAGCCAAACTAGTGCATAGTTTAGCCAGTAATAATAATTATTACTGGTCTGTTTCTCCAATGTAACATTCTATCTAATTCTATGTGACTGGATTTGAAAGTTTATTTTACTTTTGTTTCTCCATAGAATGTAATCATTCTCAAAGATCTTGCACTTTATTAATTGGATGTCATCCAGATTTTTCTATTCTTTAACAACAACAAAATTACATTTGTATGACACCATTCACGTTGGAGGACATCCCAGGGCGTGGAACAGTCAGTGTTTTGGACCTGAGCAGGGGGTTGGGTTTGGGGGAGTGAAGGGCAGAGGGTGAAGCAGGGTGATTGAAAGCACGGTCGAAATGGAGGGTCTTGAGATGGGTCTTGAAGGAGGCACGGGGGGAGGCGAGGCTTACGGAC